GCCCACTGTGGTGGGCTCCCATATATGATTAGAGCCCCAGATGAAACATCCCAGATTCTTTAAACTGACCTCAGAAAACATGATTCTGCTGCTTTTCGCCTTCTTGGTAATTGTTGTGAAGTGATAGTCTTGCTTTTAACACCACTTACTTCTTCTGCAAGTGGAAATAAAATGTACTGCCTCTGGCTAGTTTCATTCTAAGTTGAATAATCATGTGGGAATTGAAAAAATTAGGAAATTTCATCTTTTTGGTCTAGCCACAAAATAGGATAAGCAGTGACTCAGCTATCTACCGTGGTATTTTGAATTTCTCAAGGTGACCCGACTGAACTCAATTTATTTAACTGGGGTTTAAAAGAAAGCTTTCACATTTCTGACTAAAGTACAATTTTACAATATATGGACTTAATGGTAAAAGTATTAATACCTTTTTTTTTTAATTTGAAGAAAAATACCCAATGGGTGTGCTTTTAGTTCTAAAGTGCAGATGTTTGTGAAATGTTATTATCCTTTTTCAAAAGTATTTTTAAAATATCCAGGATTAATATTCCCATATTAAGATGATTCATTTCTGAGTGATTTTAAGAAGTTTACTTGTTTCACTTAAGTAAATAAAATAACCATATCATTACTAAATTTATATAAGAAGGCATACAATTAATCTAAAAACAAGAGAATCAAAGTAAATTGTTGTTTGGAAACCAGATACTGTCTAAACATCTCTTCTGAATTGTGAATTTTTAAAATCACAAGTTTGTAAACTATAGGGACAAAAATAGATCAATGGATGCCAGGGGCTAGGGTTAAGGGGAGGATATGGGCCTTTAAACTCATAGACTGGATACCAAAAGAAAAAGCTATAAACAGATACCTATCTTGATTACATCATATAGTGGTTGCATGGGTGTATACATTTATCAAAACGAATTGAACACTTAAAATGGATGAATTTAATTGTATGTAAATTATGCATCAATAAAGTTGGTTTTTTAAAACGGGCAACCTAGGCTGTGACCTGGGTCGTGGAGGCCTCCAGAAGGGACAGTTCCAGAAGCACCTAGTCTCCAAGCCCCTTGGTTCCCCATAGGACACGGCTGAAAATATCAAGGATGTATTACATCTGTGTCAAGACGAAAAGAAGGTTTTGGTAGGGAAGAAGGATTTCGATTTGACTACTGGGACTGGATCTTGCTTGACATTTATCACTTGCTCAGCATTTATCACCATCCTTATCTGTACAATGGGAATAGTAATTTCCTATCCTACCTCCCAGTTTGTAGTAAAGATTAGACTGACAAGTTCTTTAAAAAGGACATAGTGCTTTTCAAATTAAAAGCCTTATTTTTCAGACTGAAGCCGTCAGTTATACCTGCCTCTAGTTGATGTTACCCCCATGGCGACGTTGGAGAGGTGGGTGGGAAGGATGAATGACGAGTATGCACCCAGCCTGTTCCAGTCTCTCACTGCTGGCCATCCCTACATCTCATTCATATCCATTCAGTGAGCATCCTGTGGGCCCCAACTCTATGCCAGGCCCTGGGCGATCTGCTGTGTGGGTCACATTGATAATTAGGAAGTGACCCCTACTCTGAAGGGGCACAGATCACTGTGATGCAAGCAGAGTGTGAGAAATGCCATAAGGGATGCTCAGGCGCAGTCCTGGGGGAACAGAGGTTGGAGCAGTTCCTTTCAGCTTGGGCTTTCATAAGAGAACTGTCACAAGGAGATGGCTTGTGAGCCGGTGGCATTCAGGGGCCTGGTAAATAAGCCACGTCCTCCCCAGGACGAGTCCCTTATTCTGTCCAGCACCATCATGTAATTATCGAGCAGTCATTTGGTACAGGCACTGTGCAAAAGGGACCCAGAAATAGATTTTCGTAGAACGTATGATCTTCTTCGTTCTTTTGTTCATTAAACATCCAATGGGTCCTTTTTATATGGCAGACTCTGTGCCAGGGGAGTGGGATGCAGGTAGGAAAAGGAGTCTCTGCTTTGGGGTTGCTCCTTGTCTCTTGGGAGAGCTCAATGGTAAATGGACGGTTACTGACTGAGAGTGAGGCTATGTCCCAAGTAACCCTGGGCACCGGGGGAGCACAGAGGAGCACCTGTTCTGTCTTTGGTCTGGGAAGACATCCCAAAGGAGGTGGCATCTGAACTGAGCTTGGGTCACTAGTAGAAATTAGTAGGTGAAGGAGGAGAAAGCAGGGGTGGAGAAGCGTGTTATAAGCAGAGGGAAAAGCCTGTGTGAGTAGAGGCACAGAAGAGGCAATGGAGCATGTTTGGGCAGCTGCTCAATGTGGCAGGAGAGGAAGGGCTGTGTAGAGAGTAGTACAATTTACCATGTAAGGAGGGAGAACAGGAAGAGGCTTTTGCTAATTCAGCCAGCAGGCCCCCGCCCCCAGGACCTCTGGGGGCAGACCCATGGGTGCACAGGGCCTCCAGCACTAATGCTGTTTGAAACAAGGCTTCTCTGCTTCCCATACCAGGCCCCTCCCCAGGGTTCAGCCAGCCTCACGTTCAGCGCTCCAGAGCAAGCTCCATTAGCTGCCTATGGACAAGCCACCGGCTTCCCCACTGCCCTCTCACCAGTGAGCTCACACAGCCCCTCTAATTAGTTATTGATCTGGTATTTTGTTGTAGCTGTGCTTCCTGCTCCTGTATTTAGTCGATTCCCAAGTAATGAAACTAAATTCTGTAACCCCCCACCTTCTGCTTCTGAGCCTCCCCTCCCCGTCACTTCAGTCCCTGCTACCACCCCAACAAAGTGTCTCCAAGCAAAGACCACTGACCATGAGCCTCACTCCTGCTAACAGAAAGACAGTGGAGAGGCGGTTAGGAGGCGTGTTGTCCCTGGAAGCAGCTACAGAGTACACCTGTTACCTTTGTCAGGTCAAGGCCCTGGAGCCCAGATTCCTTCCTTGGTGGCCTGCGGGCCAGCTGTGACACGAAGGTGATGTGGATCAGATTGCTGCTTTCACCCTCATGCTGCTGTGTCTGGGGTGGTCTTGCAGGGAGCCAACGGGTAGTCTGGGAAAAACTGCTCCTTCCTTTCTGGTAATTTTGACCCAGCCATTTAACTCCCCTCAGCCTCCATTTCCATAAAATAGGCATCCTAGTGTGTCTTCCCAGGGCCTTGTGAGGATCCATTGGACTACTCTATGAAACTTCTTTGAGAACAATAACATAGTGTGAGAAGGAGTAATGGGTTTGCTGTCATTCTTAGAGAAGCGGTTGAGATCCGGGACAATCTGGAATGGAGTTTCAGAGGTAGGGAAAATTACTCTGTTTGCCCCTGCCCATGTTTATATTAGATGAAACTGAATTTAAAAGAACATCATAACAAGGGATTAATATCCAGAATATATAAAGAACTTCGATGACTCAACAACACAAATAAAAAAACCTGATCCAAAAAGGGCTTCCCTGGTGGCGCAGTGGTTGAGAGTCCGCCTGCCGATGCAGGGGACACGGGTTCGTGCCCCGGTCTGGAAAGATCCCACATGCCACGGAGCGGCTGGGCCCGTGAGCCATGGCCGCTGAGCCTGCGCGTCCGGAGCCTGTGCTCCGCAACGGGAGAGGCCACAACAGTGAGAGGCCCGCATACCGCAAAAAAAAAAAAAAAAAAGGGCAAAGGACTAGAATAGACTTTTCTCCAAGGAAGATATACACATGGCCAATAAATACATGAAAAGATATTCAGCATCACTAATCCTTAGGGAAATGCAAATCAAAACCACAATGAGACACCACACCCATTTGGGTAGCTATTGTAAACAAACAAACAAAAACAAAATAACAGATACTGAAGAGATTGTAGAGAAATTGGAACCCTCGTTCATTGCTGATGGGAATGTAGAATGACACAGCCACTGTGGAAAACAGTATGGTGGTTCCTCAAAACATTAAACAGAATTACCTTATGATCCAGAAACTCCACTTCTGGGTATATACCCCAAAGAATTGAAAGCAATGAGTCTGTAAGAGATATTTTTATATCCGTGTTCATAGCAGCATTATTTATAATAGCCAAAAGGTAGAAACAACCCAAATGGCCATTGACAGATGAGTGGGGAAAAAACGTGGTATCTACATACAGTGGCATATCATTCAGCCTTAGAAAGGAAGGAAATTCTGGCACTCCCTACATGAGTGAACCTTGAGGACATTATGTTAAGTGAAATAAGTCAGGCACAAAAGGACAAATATTGTATGATTTCACTTATATGAGGTACCTAGAGTAGTCAGATTCATAGAGAGAAAGTAGAATGGTGGTTACCAGGGGCTGGAAGCAGGGAATGGGGAGTTAATGGGTGTCGTTTCAGTTGGGCAAGATGAAAAAGTTCTGGAGATGGTTGGTGGTGATGGTTGTGTAATAATGTAAATATACTTAATGCCACTGGACTATACTCTTAACATGGTGAATATTATGTGTATTTAGTACGGTCGTTTAAATTATAATTTTTTTAATGTTTAAAATGGTAGATTTTGTGTTATGTATATATTACCACAATTTAAAAAAAACAAAGCTTTTAAGGGGAATAGAAACCTCAGATTGGCAGCCTGGGGCCCATTTAGATTAGAGCAGCAATTCACCCTCACTGGGTTAGGGCCTGGGATTTTATGGGATCCAGGGGCTTATAAGCACCCCCATGCCTTTCTTAGTACCAGCTGGTGTAGCTACTGCCTCTTTTTCTAAGTTACTGTCCAGGTGCCCAGTAGATCTCCCCGGAGAGCAGGGCCAGGGTGATGGCCCCGCTGGCCTTACTCTCAGTGGGGCATCTCTGCCCAAGATAGTAATTTTCCATTCTGGCCCTGCCCGAGCTTCTCAGCTGGGCTTGGACCTTCTTTCTTGGTTTGGGGGGAGCACAGTAGGTGTCCTTAGCCTGTGCCAGCAGCGGCTGATCCACCCACCCTGGAGAGCTGAACACCACGAGGCAATTTCCACAGCTTTCTCAGCCCCTCTGTGTTCTCAGGAGTGACTTATCCTCTGTTCTCTGTAGGTTTTCTTTTCATCCGCCTGCAGCGTTGCCGTGGATGCCACCCTGAGGCAGAAAGCTGAAAAGTTCCAAGCTCACCTAACCAAGAAGTTTCAGTGGGACTTTGAGGCGGAGCCTGAGGACTGTGCCCCGGTGGTGGTGGTTCTTCCCGAGGGCGTGGGGACTGGCTAAGTGGAAAAGCTCTCAGCCAGAGGAGGCCCCTTCCCCACGGCTGCGGTCCTGGCTCCTCCATTCACCTGTCCTACTGGGACTTACTGGGGCAGCAGCCCTGCCAGGTTCTACAAAGATGGAGCCAGAATTCCCTCCTTCACCAATAAATAAGTTCCTTCAGTGCCAGCGAGGCTGTACCCCATCTAGAAGGCGCATTTGTGGGTTCGCCGTCAGCCTGGCCTCGGTGCTATAACCTAACTGAATTCCAGATGAGCTCTTGGGAGAGACCTGCCTCAGCAGCAGCCTGCTTCCTCCCAGAAGAGAAGAAGTTGAGCCAAAAGCCCAGGAGAACCGATTGTTTATTCCGTAGAACGGTTAGAAACCCTGGAGTGCCCAGGAGTCTGAGATGTCAGTTGGTGACTTTTTAAAAGTTAATCAGAGGGTAATAGGGAGATGAGCCAGGATTTCTGCCTGCCCCTTGTTGGATGGGAATACGTCACAGAAAACATGGGTGTGTGACCACCCTGGAGCCCCAGGTTGGGGAGGGCATAACAGAAGACAGTTGGGTTGAATCTGACGAGTGGTCAGCTTTTGCTTTAAGTCCCTTTCTCCTGTCCAGAGGTCCCAGTGGATAATCTTTCAAGATCATTGCAGCCCCTGACCTCAGAGGCGTTGCTAGTGCCACACCCCTCCCATCTGCTCCGTTCTGAGGCCTCAGACCCAGAAGTGGGCCTTGGTGACCCTTTGTATGGCCCCATTCCTCACCAGAGCCAGCACGAGTGTTTCTGATGACCTGGAGATTCAACGACAAAGAGAAAGGTTCTTGCTTTATACAGGCTTCTTTGGCCCTGTTGAAGTTCTGTGCCTTTATTCAGAGCTCCAGAGATGACCTGGTCAGCCTGGGTCCGCCCCCGCATCCTGCTGTGGGGCTGTCAGCCACAGGAGTGATGGTGCTCCGGTTTCCTGGGAGTCCTGAGGGCCCGCGCATCATACACACAGGCCCTGCCACCCTGACCTCACAATGTTGTACTGTGATCAGAGTCCCTATGCTGCTCTCTCCCAAGGCTGCGGCTCACACTAGGTTTCTGAATAAGAATCCCCTCCGGTTAAGACTTTCGGTTCCACTTGTCTCCTTGGAATTGTTTTTCCAAGAGCATAACGTACATTAAAGTCTTGGAGTTGAGACTAAATCCCCTTGTGTGAGTCTCATAGTTCATCTGCCCAGTTCCCACCGCAGCCAGGCACTGTCCTTAGATGCACATGTCCTCCCTACCGGGCACCAGGAGACCCTGCCCAACCTCTGCAGGCTCTGGAGGAGGCAAGTGACCAGCGATGTCTCCTGTCACCAGCGGGGCTTCTGAGATGGGCACACCTGCAGGAATGATTGAGGCCCTGTATCTATATAGCAACCAGAAGGTTCACCTTGTGTGAATTTGCTGTTCTTTTTCTCCCCAAAGCCCAATCATCAGAACTACTGGGGAGCTTGTTAAAATTGCAGATTCCAAAGGAATAAAGCCCTGATCCATGCCGCAGCATAGACAAACCTTGGAAACACTGTGCAGAGTGAAAGAAGTTGGACACAAAGACCACATGTTGTACGATTGCATTCTTATGAATCGTCCAGAGTTGACAAATCCTTAGAGACAGAGGGATTAGTGGTTACCAGGGGATGGGAGAGTGGGGAAGGGGGAGTGACTGCTAATGGGTACTGGGTTTCTTTTTGGGGTGATGACAAGGTTCTGGAAGTAGGTAGTGGTGGTGGTTGGCCAACCTTATGAGTATCATAAAAACCCATACAAGTGTATGCTTTAAAATGGTGAATTTTATGGTGTGTAAATTATATCTCAATAATTTTTAAAAGTTCAGACTCCCAAGTCCCACCATACAGGAACTCGGAGGCAGTGAATCTGGGTGCAGCCTGGGTTCTGAGGCACACTCAGTTTCGAGTTACTACCTAGAAGTAACAGCATTGCAATTTAGTACCTAGAGCTCCATTGGGACAATTTGTCTCCCACTGGCCTTGACAGGGCAGCACCTGGAAGTTGGATCATGTGACCTGTTCTCTAAGCTTGTTGGTCTTATGTCTACACAGACACATACACCCCCCAACCGCTCCCACTCACACAAATGGGTTAAAGAAAAGCAGCTACAATGTATAAGTGCTCTGTTCTGTTAGTTCACTTAATCCTCACAACAGTATGTGGTGAGTGCTATTATTATCCCCATTTTACTGATAGGAAAATGGGCTCAGAGAGCTTCCGTCTTTTGCTAGGGTCCCACAGCTTGTAAGGATTGAGCTCAAGAGTCAAACCAAGCCCATTGGTGTCCAGGGTCCGCACTCAGTACTGCATTCACTACTGTGGTTTACTCCTTCCCTACCCTTGCATGTCCAGGACAGCCTTGCTTTCTTCCTGCTTCCCCGGATCTAGCCTTGGCCTTGTTGACAGCCAGCTGTGTGACCGTGGGCAAGCCACTTAGGTTCTCCGGGCTTCAGTGTATTTTTGTATAAAGTAAGAGAGTTTGCTTGGACTGAAGATTTCTGGTAAAGATACTCCAGGCTCCTTCAGGCTCCCTCCACTTAAAAATGGAACCTTGTGTTTTAAATGTTTTCAAAGGGAAGCTACATTTACATGAGATAATATGGCTGGGCTGACAAAAAAAAAACAATAGGTCTCTTGTTGGGGGCTAGAGTGACATAGATGCTGTGTCTTCTCCTTCTCCCAGCTGGCAGTCCTCTGTGTCTTTGATGAATAAAAAATGTGAAAACAAATTAATTATTACTTAATACTTGCAGTATTTTTGGAAAGCAGAAACCTTGAAAACTGAGAACCAGTGGCGTTGCTGATCTCTAAGCTCCCTTCCAGTTCTAACACATCTAAAAGTGAAGCTATTGGCAAGAGCTGGCCTGATTTTAAAATCCCCTCAAATGCAGGCCTCCTGGGGTCTGGCTCTTGTTTGCGAGGCTGCTTTATCCTATTAACAGAATCAGCAGAGGTAGCGACTTTCCAACCCCTTCTGCTGTCCCCGTGACAAACCCTCGCTGCTCATAGCCCCGGTCCGTCTAATTTCTTACCACTTGAGCAGTGGAGGAGTTCCCGCCGCTGATTGCCTCTTACCATCGGTAATTATTTTCCCAAAGTCATCCCTTTATAAATATTATTGAATATTCTCAGGGTGCTCTGACATGTTGGTTTCTCCAACTAATCAGACTTTGGCTTGACCAAGATGCCATCCCCTGCTGAAACGGGGGCTGGCAATGCAGAGGATGCCGTGGCAAAGCCATTGCTGAGTCACGTCCGCCAGACTTAAAGCAGGACAGAGTTGGGCAGCTCACCTGAGCCACCTGCTAATACTGGGGGCTGCGTGGTCCTGTGATTCTGCAGAGCCACCCCCGCTGACCACGGCACTGCCTAACCTTGGAGTTCACCACATCTGGCCCAGGCAGTCTTTGTTGTCAGTAGGCCCTTCTAGACCCTTCTCCTCAGCATCCAACGTCTGTCTCCGAGGTGGTTCATTCTCCCCACAAACCCTGGGCTCCTGCTCTGGACTGGCCTCCCTGCTGAGATGGGGTTGAGAGCCAAGGTAACATCAGCTGCTCCCTGCTGGGGGGTGGGGGAGGAGTGTGTCCAGCCCTCCCCCACCTGCTAGGCCTTCTGTCCTGTGTCCTCAGTCTGGTGCTCACCTGTGTAGACTCAACAGATTTCTCTGGAAAACAGGGATCCTCAGGGTTCTCAGGCTGTCAGTTAAAATGCTCGGTGGGAGGAAGGTGGGAGAAGTCGGTGGCTTCCCAGTCCAACGTCAGACGCCTGTTCGAAAGGAACTCCACAGGGGTCTCCTCCTTGGATCTCTGTCTTGCTTCTTCCCTCCGCACAATTTCTCCATTTTCCCTCTGTCCGCCTCCAGACGTTCTTACCTGGCTCAAGTCTGGACTCTACACCGCTAAGGGTATGCCGGCAGATGGAGTTTCATCTTGAGGAGAGGGAGCCATCCCATGAGAAGCAGAGAAAAATGTGGGACCTACACCAAAGAGCAGAGAAGCTGGGAGAGCTGTCTTGAAGGAGGAGGTCTCTGCATCCTTTAGAAGGGAGAGCTGGGACCCGTGGAAGAAACTGCAGGGGGCAGAGCTTGGCTTCATTCCTTCTCTACCCAACTAATACTCTCTGAGCTCCTGCCCCTGGGAGCTTACATTCCAGTGGGGCGAGGGACAGGCAATAAGTGTAATAAACAGACTGAAGAGTATGTTAGTTGTGAGAAATGCTCTGGAAAAAAATAGAGCAGGATAAGGGAAGTTGGGAGTCCTGGCAGGGTAAGGGGACATGTTGCAATTTAAATGGGGTGACGCTTGAGCAAGGATTTGAAGGGGGTGAGCAAGGGAGCCATGTGGTTATCTGAGGGAAGTGTTCCAGGCAAAATGAAGTGAGTGCAAAGGCCCTGGGGCAGGAGCATGTCTGATGTGTTGGAGGAGCACCAGGGGGTCAGCATGGTGTGAGTGGAGTGATCAGGAAGAGAATGGAAGGAGAGAACATCTCGGAGGGTACAGAGCAATCAGATTGTCCAGGGCTTAGGGACTGTTGTAAGAATGTTGCATTTTAGTCAGTGAAATGGGATCCATTAGAGGGTTTTAAGCAGAAGAGTGGCTTTTGTTTTAACAGGGTCACCAGCTGTCCTATTGGACATAGACTGCAGGGGGCTGGGTAGAAGCAGGGAGACGAGTAAGAAGGCTAGTGCAGTGGAGGTGAGGGATGACGCTGGCTCAATCAGAGTGATATCAGGTATGCACGCTGGGGCTATTCATGACTCAGATCAGGGATGGACTGGATGTCTTCCAAGGGCCCTTCTAGCCTGATAACCTCGCCTCTGAAGTCTCAGAATCTGGGCAGAATACTGACTCGTGGGGTCCTCCCACCCCCACCCTACAAGTCCCCTGTCTACTGTGCCATCAGGGATCTGCCAGCCCTGCCTGTTCCCAGATGTCCATGGTACCTTAGGGCAGGTGAGGCAATGGTGAAGGGCTGGGGAGGAACTCACAGGAGTTCTGGGCTGTCGGGGTGGAGGCAGGGAACTCGACGGCTCTGTTGAGAAGCCGTAAATGAGTCAGGGCCGCGACAGGCTCTGGTCACACTGCCAGCGAGTGCTGAGGAGGGTCACACTTGCTGTTCGGGGGTTCTCGTGACTCACAGAGTTGAGGGCGGTTGGTACTAATTTGTCTTGGTCAAGAAGCGTTCACACACCCATTTCCACCAGGGAATGTCCATGGACTTCGAGGTGACTAACGTGAGCCGGCATGGAGGGGGGAGGTGCTCCCTCTTCTCTGCTGGGAACGTGCTGGATCCTTTATTCACGTTATTCAGGCAGAGCCGTAGGTCTTCAAGGAAGGTCTTATCATTCCTCATCGTACAGACAAGGAAACAAGGCTCAGAGAGGTGAGGCACAGGCTCACGAGTCTCAGAGCCAGAATCCCAGCCTGTCTGAGTCCGGCACGGCCCTGCCACCACACAGCTCTCCTTAATAAGAACGGTTACATAATCTGTGATAATTACCAGTGGATCCAAGGCTGCCAGCCTGATAACTGACAGTGTCAGCCACTTGCAAGGGTGGTGGGCAGGCCCCACTGGCCTCTTGGTTCATGACAGCTTGCTAATGTTTCCACCCAGACTCTTAGTGTCCGGAGCTGGCCTTGGGTACAATGGACTGACTGGCTCAGGCGAGGTGGCACCTGGGTGTGGTAGGAGGGGGAGCTGCATCTGGTCCAGAAGGAGTCTGCTTCTAGACTCTGTGGACCACTGGGGACCCCAAGGGGCTGCTCCGTCTGGGGCGCACCTGAGTAGAGGCCTCTCCCACCCTGTCCTGCCAGAGTTGCTGTTGAATTTGCAAAAGGTCTTTGCTTTACTGCCATATGTGAGGCCTCTGAGGGGCTGATTTAATGCCCAGACATCCTCCGTAGATCAATAAGCTGTTTTGTTCCGAGTCTAGGAGCCCAAAGGTAGAGAACAGGATGTAGGGGATGGAGGGGGCGTCTCTTCGTCTCGATTTTTGAATGAAGAAGGCTACGCCATTGTTCATTTCCCTTTTGGAAATTGTCTATTTATGGCCTCTGCCCATTTTTCTTTTGCATCTTCTTTTTTTTTAATATACATTTGTCTTATATCTTAATATTAGAAATATTTCCCCCAATTTGCCTTTTAATTTTATGATGTTTTGAAATGTATACTTTACTTTTTTATGTCAAATATGCCAAGCTTGTTCTTTTTGATTTGATCTTTTTCCCACTGCTTTAATGCTGAAAAGTCTATTCCCATATCAAGATGAAATTTATACTAACCTATACTTTGTTCTAGTATTTCTCAGTGTTACGGTTTTTTATTGTATTTTGCCAGAGTCAAAACCATGTTTCCTCGGCCCCACTTAATCCATCCCCACTCCTACCTTTCACACCTCACATCCGTTCTCGATTTTTCCTCTCCAGATTTTAAGTCCTAACTACCGCCTCATGCCTCTGTCCTTTTCCTTTCCTCAGCCACCGAGGGCTTCTCATAAGCCTTCCTGATCCCCTCACAGCATCTACAGCCAGAACCACGCCCATATCTGGCCCTTGGCATTACAGTCTGGTGATGTGGAGTGCTTTTCTTGTTGCTTCCCAAGGCTAGAATCATTTGTTCATGATCCTATACTGCCTTGCTCCAAACATGGGGCTAAGTGCAGCAATGCTTTGGGTTTTTCTTTTTCTTTTTTTTTAAAGAAGATAGAATTTAGTAGAGGGAAGGGTCTCTTCCAGAACAGCAGGCTGACTTCCTAGTAGTCTGGGAGAGTCGAGCCTGAACATGTGCTATAGATCAGTTTTTATAGCCAGAAAACAAAAGAATGGTCCGAGGTGAAAATTTTGTTTACTGATTGGTCGAGGCACATATACCTTCCTTCTATAGGGTGGGAGTGGGACAGGGCATATGCCTTTCCTTATTTGGGACAGGTCCCGTTGCCCAGGTGGGCATCGCCCAGGTGGGCTCAGGAATTTCGTAACCATCGCAACATGATGGGGAGGGCGATTAAGCGTCCGGTAGGGAGTGTAATGCTGAAACTTTTTCAGGCCGGTTTTCTTTGTCCTTGAAGCACCATTGTCCTTGGAGCACCACATTCCCCCCTGTATTTATAGGGCCAATTCCTTGGCCCTGTTGTATATCCTGCTCATATCTACCTAACTGCCTAATTGCCTCTCAAGCATTCGGGGAACCCTTTTGTGAGAAGGGACAATGAACTCTCTGGCTGCTTCCTGCTGAGCGGAGGCCTCATGGGGCCCTGGGTTCCCGTTGCCTGCTCTGTCAGGGTGTATCTAGGGAGGAGTGCGGGCCCCGTGGAAAGTGATGGCGGCCTGTTCAAGCGTTGTACGAGTGTTGACTGGCTGGTATTCTTGTTGCATCACCATTTGGAGGTTTATTTGTTGTATTCTGGAAGAGACAAACTTAACAAGGAGGTTAAAAATACATGGCCCGAAGATTAGTAGAAGTAGAAAAGCCACTATAGGGCCTAGGAAAGGGGTTAGCCAAGAGAACCAGGACCAGATATTAGTCTTGAAGTCCCACCAGTCGAATTCCCCTGAGACTCCTTGTAGAATCCACTTAGCTCTTTCAATAATGGCTCGAAGATGAGTCTGGACCT